TTTCAGGACGACCAGTAGCGGAGCTACCCAAAACTCTCCCTTCGAATGCTATTGGACATACTATTTATTTTGAAAGATCAATCAAAATTAATGATTAATTTTATTGCCTGCGGTAGTAAAAGCCGTCGCCGGTATCATAAGTAGAATCGTAACGATTGTGATGATGAAAAATTTGTTTTCAACAACTTAACTTGGAGATTGTAAAAAAGCGAAACGTGCATTGCTGTATTTGAAGCAGATGTATAGTAAAGATATTGAAAAAATATATTTTAATCGTGATCGAATATGCCAGGGAAGTCAGATATAAAGATTGAAATTTTGATTCATGGGCATCCTGGGTTTTTGAAACCAAAGATGATTCATGTTTAATTTAGAAAAATAAACGCACATTTTTTTGTACATTCCTACGACTACGTGAATATACTTTTCAAAATTAAATTTTTTGATACGTATGATAAATATTCTCTTGGGAAAAATGAATAGAAATTATCATCTAAATATTAGGTGTCTGTCACCTCTCTACCACCGATAACTCTCTGAAGTAAAAACTGGTGATAGCTAAAGATTAACGGGGTCTCACCTATTAGCGTTCGATACCTCGCACGGGTTGGACGATAAGTAGTGAAAATGTAAAATTTCACTAAATGAACACGATAGGAACAATATGTTCAATGTACAATAAAGCTAGATGATGTAATAAAACTCAACAAACGAATCAAATAACGTACAATTATTCTTAATTGATCACAAGTAGCCTACAGTAGGTTAGATATTAAAAAAGTATGACAGAATTGTATGGTCCCGAAGTGCCATTTTAATTAGGATTAAGGTGCCATTCGATTCGCAAGGACATCTAAAAAATTTCTGAAAAGGCATGTTAAGATTTGGAAAAGTTAAATCATGAAGAAAAAAAGTAGTTTGGTTTTTTGCATGTATCTCAAAAACAATTTGAGATTATGTGAAATATGACCCTTAAAGAGCAGGANTGGGATGGATGAAAAAATTAATCATCCGTTAACGGGGGACATGAGGTCCTCATTCGACAGAGTGTCGGGGCCTTCTATATCGGGAGGGGTCGTCTACAGCATAATCTGTGGCTTCCCTAACTAACGGGTTTTCATGAGTTTCCGTTTTTTCGAAAACTCTCTCATTCCTCGACTGGATGGACTGCCGAATGGAAGGCAACTGCAAATCTCTGCGTAGGCTCACCTTCCCATTTAAGGAACGTTGATTTATTCGTTCGAACTGAGTATTCCATAGCTGCCTATAAGTGGGGCCATCTATTGGAACTGTATATTAACTGCATTATAAAATATAAGTCTTTGAATTCATGATTTTGAATCCAGCTGTGAAGACAGTCGTGGTTCTGAGATTGTTTCAGCATTTCTGCATTTATTAATTTTTTTTTCCATCTCTTGCACAATATTTCTCAACATTTCATTTCTTTTCATTTCAGACTCTTCAGCACGGTTTTCCCCACAAACCCACAGCACTAGCATGGGACCCTTCACTGAGGCTGATATGCATTGGAACAGCTACAGGGGCGATCAAAGTATTAGGCCGTCCTGGAGTCGAATTCTACGGTCAGCATCAGAATCCGATTCCAGTAACGAAAATTGTGTTCCTACCGAACCAAGGCAGGGTAGTTTCGCTGTGCGACGACAATTCTTTACATCTCTGGGAGGTGAACAGAAGCTCCTTGGTCGAAGTGAAGTCGCAAGCTTTGGAAGGCAAGCTCAAGAAAATTTCGACTATGTGTTTGGAATCGGCCGGTAATCACCTGCTGCTCGGTACTGAAGGGGGAAATATTTATTTACTCGACTTGAGTACTTTTACGATGACACCTGATATTATTTATCAGGATGTAGTGATGCAAAAGTAAGTTTATAGGGGTAGAGATTCCTACTCTTACGAAAAGTATGGCAAAATATACATTATAAACCCTATCAATAACTTCATTAATCACACTTTTATTATATATTTGATATATCTATATTTCAAATCGGAAAAATCATTTACACATACATCCAACATACATATATGTTTGTGTGTGTCTATATCAACGGTCAGCAACAGGCGGATCGCGGTACGTTTGCGGACCGCGAAAGGTCGAACCTCGGACTGCCAAGTATACCAAGTATAAATTCGTACGTAGATAAGGCATAAATACCTTAATTAAATAAAAAAAAAATTAAGCTAACGTATTTTACAAGTACCTACAACTGGCATGGTTTGATTAGTTTCCTATCTAGCCTGACAAATTGAAGTAACCTCCATATTGCGAAACTTAGATACGCAGAAAGCCAGAAATCATTTTGAGTTCATAACAAACGAGCGCAATATGCTGGTTGTGACTTTTCTAAAAGATATTTTCAAATATTTGAATGCGTTCAACACAGAGTTACAAGGAATTCTTAAATAAATATGTGATCTGATACAAAGAGAGTCTGCTTTTCATGGCAAGCTGGATATCTTCGAAAACGACATTGCAAAACAAAATTTCATTCATTTTCTGACAAATCTTGGATATGAAAAGAAAACGGTATCCTAATGAGAATTTTGGACTAAACATGTCCTGGAAAAACGTGAAAATTGCAAGAAAATAGCTATAAATTTGTCCACTATGGCTCGATATACATACCTATGTGAAACATCTTAACTATATCGAATGTATTTTGTACGGTACCATTGAAGAACATTTCTTAAGAGCTTTTAGATAAGGTATCACAAGTAGGGGGTTGCCATTTAAGAATATGAAGTTGGAGTGGCTGGGGGCGAGGGGGTGAGTGAAAAAAGTTTGCTATTACATCATTTTGTTTCCCTCTCCCTATTATGGAAGTTGTTTTCAGCGATTTCTCATATTTTGTTTGGTTGCTCAGGTATATGAAATTACTGTCTCGTGTCTGGAACATTCAATAGCTTTTCTTTCTTGTGATTCCCAATATCCCCAGTATCGATTCAGTATGTTCCTGCATCATATTTCAATTATTCATGGCGTCACCAGAAAATCTCGATGGTACTTTTGGTAACCTCAGTGCTTACTGATCTGCTCACTTCGTTGCTCAAATTATTGTTCTTGCAGATTGCAGAATTCCATACCCGTCTGTTTGATTATTGATCGAGCGGGTAGCTGCAATGTTAATTTCTCCTCGTACAGGGTTTTACAATTAAGTTTTCACCAATAACGAATTTCATATGATTTTTTAAATTTCATTAAGAGACAAATTTTCCTGATAGTAATTCAATTGAAACTGTGGCCGTGATGCCGATTTCATATATCAAATATTTACTCTATCTAGATAAAAGCCGTATATATTTCACAAATTAAATCAACAACCGGTTTTTGTGTCAGTTTTCATAACACACTGGAAATTAGGTTTCATTTTTCTTTAGTAATTCAATGAATTACATTCCCAGAACCAAACCTCATTGACAACTATAGCATGTC